AAGCCTCAACAGTCTGGCTCCACAAGCGGGGAAGCCAAGTGGTTGTGGATTTTTTTTTTTATTGTAGTTTTTCTTTCCTTTTGTCCCCTTCTCTTGTGACATCCTTTACCCTTCCCCTCTTCTCTTCCCTCTCCCCTTCTCCTCCCTCCACGGTCCTGGGGATTTTGCACAGGGTCTTGCATGTGTGCTTTGAGCTACACTCTTGGTCCTAGGTGACTGTGTCTTTAGAGTGGAATCAGATGCACATTCATGGCACTATGCCCAGTGACTAGGGCCAGCTGGAGGTATCTTTTCTGCACTGAGTCAAAGAAAGGGGTGTCTCTCTCTCTGTTGCCGGTTTCCACCTTGCTGTTTGCAAAGAAAATGCATCCCAAATCACCAGGTTAACATGCTCACCTACCTTTCCCTAAGCCATGCTTATAAAGGAAGGCCCAGGCCATCTACTAACACATCTGGATGTGTCCTTTCTGCACATCCCTTGATGATTGCATCTGTAGGAGTCCTTTTGCAAGCCTGAGAGGGAGCCAAAATGGGCACCTTCTTGGCCTGAGAAACTGGAAGGGTGGCAAGGGGCTTAACTTATGGTATCAGCAGGCCCCAGCTTGAAGGATCTTGGGCTTGCCTTTCCCTTCTTTTTTACTGCCTGTTGTGTTGGCTGGTCTTAAATATTTAAGTGGCTTTCTGAGCCAGTTATAGGCTGTGGGAGTGTTTCTCCATTTCAAGAAGGCACTGGAACAGGTCTCATTACTGATACTCTAAATCCCCTTTCTTTTTGCAAGACTAGAAGGAAGGGGCTGTGGAATAAAGTTCCAGGGAAGGAGTGCATCCATCCTGCCAGTGGGCAGAGTAGGCCAAGAGAGGAAACCAATGCACAGCAGGCTTGGGTCAGCATGGAGTTTTCACAGCAGGAGGACCTGAGGGAAAGAGAGCAGGGTGTTGCAGCTGCCACAGGTGAGTGGGAACAGTTGGGAGAGGAGGCCCCAGGCATAAGACTGAACAGGAAATTGGGCTGGAGTCCCAGCTTGTACTCTTGGGTTGTGATGGGTGATTACAAAATTGCACCAGTCCTTGGTGTCTGTGTGAATGGAGCTGACTTTCAGGTGAATGGGCTGACATTATCTTCTGAGGGCAAAAGAGGTTGAAATTGAGATAGATGAGGTCAAACACAGCGTGCTACAGAAAGCTGACTCACAGTAAATGGTGACTGTGTTTATGAAAGAGGGAGAGCCATCATATCACATCCCAGAGCTGTGGGCATTGTGCACCAGGCCTGGTGCTCAGAAGAGGGGACCCAGTTCTCTCCCAGTAGAGAAGCACTGAGCTGGGCATGAGAAATGTACTGGGAAGTGGCTTTTCCACCAGGAAGAGCTTCGGGATAAATGATCAGGTGGTCAAGCAGGTGAACATGCTCCAGGTGAGTGATGGTGTGGCTTGTTAATGCCAGCCCAGGATCAGAAAGCTCCTGAGGAATCAGGTTGTTCAAGGTACCCGTCATCTTGCTCACCCTTCACCTGCCTGGCCCTGAGTGACCTCTGATGTAGGATCAGAAAGTTAGATTCCAAATCTTAAATTCTGGGTCTAGACATGTTTGCTGGATATGTATTTGTAGCCATTTAAATATACAGCGGGTGTCAGTCTCTGGCCAAGAGGACAAGCTGCACTTTTCTCTCTTGGGAATGTTAGTCCTGAGGCAGGGCTCCTGTTTACCAGCATCTGATACTGTGCATGACGCACAGTAGGCACTCCCCAAGTGTCCACTGAATAATTAAACATAAATAGCTATCAGGTGAGTTCCAGGGTTTCTGTTCTAGAAAACAAGGTCAGGGAGGACTTCAGAGGCAGACAGCTAGATACAATTTTTGCTTCTTCTGTTAGACTATTTAACCCTGAGCTCTTTAGTCACTTGGAACCTCAGTTTCCTTGCCTAAAAATAGATGTAATGCTAGAGTCCATCCCCCAGAGCTACTATGGAGATTATATAAAAATGATAGGTGTAAAGAGTCTTTGCATGACCTTCAGCAGATAGCAGAGGGTTTTTATGATTATGATTATCATCATCATCATCACTTGAATGGTAATGCTATTATTAAAATGGATGAGTGGTAAAGATTTGGGCTTTTACACAATGGCTGTTATGGTTTATGTCGGTGGCCCCCAGGCCTCACATGTTTGCATTGTGCATTTGTGATTGGTTCATTGTCTAGCGATTGGATTAATGACATCAGTGCTACACTCACCTAGGGGTGGAGCCAGCATACAATGTAATGGCTGGAAGAAAGGGTGTCTCTCTCTCTCTTGCTGGTTTCCACCTTGCTGTTTGCAGCCATCCTGAACTGCGGCCCTGCCATGCCACCCTGCCTTGGAGCCAACTGAATATCAACTAAAACCTCCCAAAACTGTAAGAAATAAACCTTTCCTTTCCCAAATTTGGGCATCAGGTATTTTTATCTCAGTGACGAGTAAAAAATAACTATGACGATGGCCAACTGAAATTTGTTGAAGTTCATGACTATCTACTTTGGATTCTTTGGAATGTGCCAGGACCCTCGAAAGCCCTCCCTTCCTATAGGCTGCCACCACCAACAAGGGTGGCCTTGGTGTTGCAATTCTGTATCGGATGCAAGGTCAAACCACCTAGCACACATGGGAAATGCATTCTCTTTCCTTGTGGAAAGCAGGGTTTGGGGTTAGCCTCTTGCCAAGAATGGCTGGGAAAGGCTGAAAGCTAACATTAGTGGTGGAGTGCAAACGCCTGCGTGGGTGAGCTGACTGCATCACTGGGAAGTCAGCACCGAGAGTATCTCAGGGTCAGAATGCCTTGACTATTTTGGAAAGATGTTTGGAGCTGGTAGCCTATGCCAAGCCTACTACAAACATAGGCAGGTTGGAAAGTTGTCTGGCTCTGCCTGCCTGCCTGCCTGCCAAATACCATAGCATAATTGCTGGAAGAGGAGACCCTTTGTGGCAGGTGGCCAAGCAGCTGGTATCTAAATATGCATGGCCAGAGTTGGCAGACATGGAGAAAGTGGGGGAGGGTGGGATTGCCAGCCCTGGGCTTGAGGTCAACTGTAGGCCAGATTACCTTTCTAGGTCACAGAAGAGGATATCTGGGTAGATGTTCTGTGGCTAGGTAGCAGGCATGTTGGCCTTTGAAACAGAAGCCACCCCAAGCCTGGCTCAGCCATTCACTGTCATGTAATGTCAGAACCAGAAGGGTCTCGAATTTTCAATTTCTTCATTTTACAAATGAGAGATGAGACAGAAAGTGAGAGAGAGAGAGAGAGAGAGAGAGAGAGAGAGAGAGAGAGAGAAGAGAGAGAAAGACAGAGAAAGAGAGAGAAAGAGAGACACAAAGAGAGTAAGAGAATGAACTTGAAGGTCACACAGCCTGTCAGTGGCCCCCTGGTTTAATTTAAATTTCAGCTTGAGTTCTCTGCTATAATACAGTTCTCCAGTATTCTTCTCAACAACCCGTAGGCTGCAGTAGGCCCCATAGGCTCAGCACCTTCACCAGGCCCAGGAAATACTGCCAGGAAGTCGGGGTTCCTGATTATTTTCCTGGGGAAGTATTAGTTTAAGGTCATCTCTACCTGGGGTTGTGTCTGAAGAAGTCCTATCTGCAGGCTTGTTCTGGCTTTTTTTTTGGCAAATCAAGTCAGACTGTTGCTTCTGTGTTATGTAGCTGGTTTTCTGTGCTGCATCTGAGAACATTTTCTGAAAAACCACTACAAAAATCATTCCAAGATTCTCTAAATCACCACAATGAGAGGGATGCGCGGGTTGGTGGGGGAGGGCAGCCTCACAGTTCAATGGCAGAACATTCTGCTGAAACCTGAGCTTCTCCCCTTTCTGGCCCATGTGCCTGTGTGAGCAGTCTGTGGAGGAAACCTCAGAGGACACAATGGCCTGGTTCAGGTTTCTTCCCAAACAGTTGGGCTGTGAAGCCTTGCGAGATAAAATGCTCTTAATGATCACTGCAGGATTTGGTTTGGGTTTTGCCTAAAGATGAGAAGTTTATCTGTTACAAACCACCAGTCTCCCTGTGGAACTGATGTTTATACCTTTTTATCTGGCTCATGTTTTATCTTTGGTGAAGAGAATTTTGTAAAAGTAGAATATGGAAATAGCCCCCAGTGGGAGAAACATTTGCTTTCAGAAACTTCCTTTGCATTTTGCAAAGGGTTAGTACAAATAGGCAAGCTGCTGTTTTTTCTTGGCTCTGATAGAGACTATTTTATGCCTTCTGAAATTTTTTCTCTATGGGTAAAGCAATGTGAAGAAAATGTGTAAGTGTGGAGCAGGCCCAGACTTTAAAAGCATTGGGAACAGGAGGTCCTCAGGGGCTCAGAGATTATAGCTGGAATCACAAATCCTTGTCTCTGGGTGACTCCTCTTCCTGCTTTGCCATTTCCCCTACTAGTGGCCCTGAAGAGACAGTAGGGGCTCAGATAGTGTTTTTGAAGACTTTTCAACCCTCTGATTCTCCAAGAATCCTTGCCCAGTGAGAATCCTTCTGTATACCAAGCTAAAAGCTGGTGTTCAGTGGAAGATTGCCCCCTTGTACTGATAGTACAGAGATCCAAGAGGAACACCAGTTGAGATCACTGCCATGGATTGTTGATTTGGAGAGTATCCAATCTTTAGTGTTAACTGTGTTAGTTATTTTTAGTATAGACATAGATTTGTATTGGAAACGTCTCTTTTTTTTTTTCTTTCAATTTCGTGTTTCTGTAGAGTATAAGTCTTGAACACCAGAAAATGATTATACAAAAAAAAAAAAAAAAGAAGAAGAAGAGTGAAAGATCACACCAAGAGGTCTGCACAGAACAATTGGGAGTGACTCCATGCATTGGGAAAGCATTATATATTCTGTGTAATTAAAGTGTTAAGTGTTGTAGGTCAGATGTCAGGTAGCACTTTGACACCAAGTACACAAGTGTTGCCATACTTGGTGAAACTGAAAAGGGTTTCTTGAAGAGCAATTGAGGAAACATCATTCCTAGTGTCTTAGTTTTTTCAAACTAGTTCTTTTTAAAACAAATCAGCTTTCAAATTTCACTGTACATAGCAAAACACGATAAGCCCCTCTCTAATGGGGATTTTATCAAATTGGCCATGTTGCCTGAGAGTGAGTCCCTTTTTAATGATTTCCCAAACAAGGATAGAATTATGCAATGCATCTCTGAGATGCCTCTTAGCAGATATATTGTTTTTTTTTTTTTGTACCAGAGATCAAACTCTCAACCACACCTTGTAAGGCAGGTGTTTATGCCACTGAGCTAAATCCCCATCCCTAGCAGATATACTGTTAAACATCAAGTCCAGCACATGGCAAGTGATGTTAGCAGATCATCACCAGCTTACAAAAGGCAGCCTGTGACTCCATGAGTTTGTATGAAAACACAGATAGAAATGATCATGCAAGGAGAGCAGTGATTTTGCACTTGCTGTTGGTGATATCATAAGAGTTGGTAAATCTTGCACTTAAGTTTTAAGTCTGTAAGCTAGAGCCTGCTCTGTTGCTGTGTTGCTTTCACCCTTCTAGGGTCTCAGTTTGGATTCTAGCATTACAACAGCAGAAGTTCTCTATAAACTGGTGTTTATTTCTTTTTTTCCTCTTCTAACGAGCCTCTTCTAACAAAATCATATGTGAAATCCAAAGATATGAAATCTAGAGGTTGACCAGCTTTGGTTGCAGGTACTGTGGGTATCTGCAGGTACTCCTAGACAGCCTTTAAAATAACTCAGAAACTCCAGGACTCTGGAAAAGACAGCACAACATCTATTGCATGAGGGCATTGCTGAAACCATTCATGCAGGCTGTGTTGCTACAGAGGCCACAGCCGTTTCTAAGACCCAAGAAATCAATCCTTAGGACTGTAAAAGATTCAGTCATGCATACAATTTCTAAGACATATTCTTGCATTCAATGATTTAGTCTTCCACACATTCCATAAGCATGCACTTGCTTTCTTGTGTGCTAGATTATGTTGCTGCCCTGACTTGAAGCAGGAGACAGTAATGCACCCATAGCTTCACGTTTATTCAGGCAACATTCTTGGATCTACCTAGGATCAGAGCTGTGTGGGTTGGCAGAGAGCTTCTGATATGGATGCATGTCTGTCACATGGCAAGATTTGAAACTTAAACACTTGTGATGTTGGGAACCCTTGAATTCATCTTCAAATGGAAAGCAAGAATAAAGACGGCTTTTAAATATTCTTGAACATGGCTCTGCCTGATGGCAGCAGCCCAAGACCATTGCACGTTCTCAGCTTTGGGACATATTAAGAGACAGAGGTACTTGGTCCAATTTCCTCAGATAGATTTCTTCTTCTTCTGTGATGAATGAATGGCCCCAAACTCCAGAGACACTCGTAAATGTAAATTTCAAGATGCTTCCTTAAAATCCTTTAGAAAGGAGATTAAATCACAGTAATAACAGATTCCTACTATGCAAGTTTCCTGTTGCTGCTGTAATAAATTACCATTAAATTAGTGGTTTAGACAACACTAATTTTCTGATAGCTCTGTAGGTGAACTCTCTAACATGTATCTCACTGGGTTAAATTCAAGGTTTCAGCTGGTTCATGTTCCTTGTTGGAAGCTCTAGAGGGGAAAAAAACCCATTTCCTTGCTTTTCCCAGCCCACAGTCTTGGGCTGCCCATATTTCTTGGCTCAGGGCTCCATTCTCTCAGTTTAAGTCAGCATCTTTAAAAATCTCTCACGCCTGCTTCCACCACCACACTGTTCCACCTTTTTAGGACTTTGTTCTTACAATGATCTCATCAGGGATAATCCAGGATAACCTTTAAAGTCAGATGATTAGTGAGTTTAATACCATCCACAACCTTAATTCCTCTTTGCCTCATTCACTTAGCATATTCACAGACTCGCAGGACATTCTCTGGAGGCCTTTATTTTGCCATCAACATCTAACCTAGCTGTAAGCATCAGAGTACAGCAGTACTTTCCTATGTCATGAGTGGCACTTGTCACCTGGAGTGGGAGTGTTGCCCAGGAAAGGGGTGCTCTTCCAGTTTGCTTTAGTTTTTTGCCTATTCGGAGTGCTCAGGATTAGAAGGTGGGAGATGGCTGTGTTTTTACCATAAATGGGTATGACTTGGGAGCATGGTACAAGAACACCAGAGACAGGCATTCCAGGCCTCACTTCACCAACAACTGATACTTAAAACAGTAGCCTATTGGGATCTCACTTAGTGCATGTGTGCAATGGACACAATAATACTCTACTAATAAGCTCGTGATAAGCATGAACACAAAGAATCTATTTAAATTGCCCTCAGAATATCTCTTTATCTGTTACACAGAGATATGTATTTCTACCTATCTGTCTTACCTATCTGTCCATCCTTTGTGGGAGTAACTTACAAGAATTCTACAGCGAATCCTTATTTTGGGGCCTCAATCCTCAGACATCTGTTTCTTTAAGAGAAGGAAAGGAAGTATTGAGTCACTTGTCAGCTCCTTGCCCTTTGGTCCTTGAGTACATAAAATATAGCAGTGCTTTCTTTGATACTAAACTTAATATAGGAAGCCTGGCATCCGCATATAGCCACAAGTTCTTCCCAGCAGGGCTCTAGTTGCAGAAATTTCCAGAGAAAAGGTGATCCACAATTCTGTGGGCAGGTAAGCCCCATGTGGTTCTGGGTGTGTGGTGGACATTAATGAAGGAGTTAATTTCTTACACTGTAAGGGGGAGAAAAACACCCAGACTCATAAGCCAATAGGAACACAGGAGCTCCTCAGAAATATGGCAGCGGTAAGTGATCCGGATTTAGCTTCTCCTGCTTCAGGGGCTGCCACGGCCAAAAATTGTGTGCTAAGTAGCTGAGGCTAAGTAAGCTCCCTTAGGCAGATGAAAGAAGGACCAGAATTTTGTGCCGGGACCAAGCAAGGCACAGCCTCACCTTCAGCTTCTTTCAGAGTCTGCCGGGGTAGCACGCAGGCAGTTCTCCCGCGGAGGACGTGTGGGCCGGGGAGCGGTGCCACTCGGCTCGTATACTCCTCGGCCTTTTCGGTCATTTCGCGTGATTTCGCGTGCCGATGCCTTCCCCGTGTTGCTACACACAGCGCAAAGTGCGGTGGAAAACCTAAGAACAGTAACAAGTTGTCATAAGCCACGACTCCTGGAAAAAGTGCTCAGGCCCGTTAGGAGCGGCGGCCAGGGAGTGGGTGCGCTTCCGCGTGGCCCCTCCGTGCGCCTCGGCGCGCCGCGGGCCGGCCCTGCGCATTCCTGGTCGGGGAGGAGAGCGCGGCGGGCGCCCTTGCGAGCAGCTGGCTGCGCGCTGGCCCGGCTCGGAGCGCCCAGAGCTGGGGGAGGAGCCTGGCCCGGCCGCCGCTCTCTCCCAGTCATTGGCCATTTGTGCTGCAACTTTCCCGAGTCCTTGGGGGAGCCGTGCCGTTGCCCCGGGAAAGTTTGCGTCCCCGGGCCCGATCCGGACGTGGAGGTTTTGTGCAACGCGCCGCGCCAGTTTCAGAAAACTCTGCGGCTCTGGGACTCTTTGGAAGTTGAGTGCCTGAAGGGCAGAAGGCTCCGTGAGGGCCGTCCCGGCTCTCCTCCCGCGGGTAAGTGCGCCGCGGCCACGGAGAGGCAGGCAGGCGTGCGCCGGAGGCAGGGGGGAGACCCGCTTCCCCCCGACCTTGGCTTCCAAACAAAGGCGCGCTAGAAGTGGTAGCGTAGCTCATTTCAGTTTTCCTCAAGAGACTGGTAAAGGACAGAAAAGTGGCTAAATTACACGTTATGTCCCCTGCTGGCAGAGGAGTCTGTTTGCGGGAGAAGCGGCTGGCTGAGAGCGTCTGTCCCTCAGACTCGTACCTCGGGTGGATGAGCATGGGGTCAGTACCACGGGCGAGGTGCTCGCCAGTGGCTGGGATCCCCGCCTGCGATTGGAGACCCCGCCTGGTTTGAGGTCTCCGCCCACAAACGGCCTTGCGCCATCCCTCCTGGACTCCCCCCCCCCACCTCGTGCAGCACCCCCCCCCCCCGGGGTCTCGTGGGAGCACCTCTGGTGGCCAGAGCTGCGCACGGGTTAGCCACAAAATTCTGCACTCGATTGCCTCCGAGTTTGGGACTTTTAAATTCTCCAATAGTTGCGTCAGCGGAGCCGAGCGCTCTTCGGGGCTCCGTGTAACACGTGACCGGGCCAAGCTTCCCCTTGGCGTCCTCTGCTCCCGCCGGCAGCCCGCAGCGGCGCTGGATTTCGGAGTTAGGGCGGCTTCAGAAGTACTGTGGTTCGCTGCTGCAGGCTCACAATGCCTAATGAATGCCGTTGCTTGTATGCGGTCCCTGCAATCTTGTTACAGTCCTCAGGGTTTGTCTTTCCTTAAAATGGCTTAGCCACCGTTATCATTGTTACCTTCTAGCTTTGTTAAATACCTGAAGGAGACCTGACGTATACCTGTGGAGGGGAAATAGAAGGAGCCTATGAAAAGAGCAGGGGGCTGAAGGGGCTTGGTTGGTGCTGAGGGTGGCCACTGTACAGTATGAGCACCTGTAAACTGTCCTAGTTCTTTCTGTGCCAGTGCATCGAAAATCAAGGAGCCTAGGGCAGTCTCCTATCGGTTTTGGCCACAGGAAAAACCTGTCTTCCGTTACCGGACAGAGAACTCATACCATTCCCGTATCTCTGATTCCCTATCTAGGCCACATGTCAAAATTCATTTCTGTTTTATTTGGAAATGTCTGGCCAAGGCTCTGATTCCAGGCTGGGTTTCTTTTCTTTCTTTCTTTTTTTTTTTTTCATCTATTCAGATCCATATGTAGATTTCAGAGTTGAATCTTTACCAGTGCTTTTAGAGTTGAGAGTCAGTGGAACTTGGAAGAAAAGTCGTTGTGAGTTGCACAGCGAATGACCTCCCAGGGTGCCTGGCTGATCTGGGGCCAAGTGGCAGGGCCCCTTGAGAATGGGGCCAGTTGTGCTGGGCCAGCAAATGGAAGGGCGTGGATTCCCCCGGGGCTCCTTCCCACAGGCCCTCCTCTGCCCTGGGCATTTTCCTCCAAAGAGAGTTGGAGCTGGGAAATAGGCCAGTAGCCGCCCTGGTTTATGTGGATACCACAAGTTCACCCAGGAGAGCCTCTTCCTTGATTCTGCATCATTCATTGTTCCTTATGAAGAACTATGGCCTGACCTCTGGAGTGTGGGACCCATGCTTACGGCCTGCTTCATATTACAATTATTTATACTACTGGTTCTGAAAACCTGCGGGTCAAATGCCACTGCTCTGTGAAACCTAGATAGAAGCAGCCTCCTGGCCCTGTTTACCTCCTCCTTTTGTCTTTCTAGTGCTTGACCATTTAGAATATTTCAGCTGGAGGGAAATGTCAGGGTCTCATTTTACAGACAGGAAGAGGGAGGCTCAGAGAAGTTCAGGGTTAGAAGGGGGTGTAGTTCAGGGGTGGAGTTCTTGCCTAGCATAGGTGAGACTCTGGGTTCAATCCCCAGTTGTACAAAAAACAGCAACAAAAACCAAACACAAAATAAGAGCAAAAACAACCAAAGAAAATAAAACTAAATCTTAAAAAAAAAGAAAAGTCTTGGGTGTTGGCCAAGGTCACAAGGTCACAAGGGATTCCAAATATTTAGGACCTTAGATGCCTAACCTGGAGTTCTCTGTGCAGAGTCTCACAGGCAGCCTCTTTGGTTTTATTCAGCTTTGAGTCAGGGTTATTTGTTTGTCGCTTCTATGGAGACAGACACTGACTGCTTGAGGGAGGAGGACCTGTCTGGTTCATAGTATCACTTCACCGGTGACATGGGGTCTGGGGAAGTAAGTGGTTGGTTGAACTGAATAAGACGTAGCCCCTGCCTTCCAGGAGGTTGTGTGTGTGTGTGTGTGTGAGCGTGCGCATGGTATTTGAGCATATAAATACTGGCACTCTGTGGTGGGCGCTAATGCTTCAGGAGGGGATGTTGAATGTATGAGGATGTTTATCATTTTGCCAGTGACCAGGGAGTGCAGTATAGGCATCTCGAGGATATCAGGCATATTATGCATGGGACAATCCTGCACCACCAGGAATTACCTCAGCCAAAATGCAGATAGCATCTTGTGTCAAGAGTTCTGCAAAGGTCTGAGCAATTGAGAGAGAAATTTCTAGTTGGGAGGATGAAGAAAAGGATTTCTGTGCTTGCTAGGCTCCAGGCTGCAGGTCTGGATGAGGTTAAGAAGAGAACAAGGTGGAGTTTGCCTGTATCTGCTCTCCTGGAACTTGCTTCCACAGCCAAAAGCAGATGGTCCTTGAGTAATTGTGGTCTGTGTCTGGCAGATCTTTGTACCTTTGCAAACGGGAGGTGGTTTGGGAAGTTGGTAATAGAGTCATTGACAAATGCTGGCAAGAGGAACACATCTAAGAAAGAAGGCTGCAGAGTTGGGTCTCCTGGTCTGTCTTGTTATAAGCAAGATCTGTGAGATTCATCTTCTTGGCTGAATCCTTTCTGTCTCTCCCCTATTGAGGTTACAGCCTTCGATTTATAACTTCACTAATCATTTCCACAGCAACTCTCTGTGATGACAAAACATCCCAAAGATTTTGAAATCATTTAAGAGAAAGGACAAGCATAAGAACAAAGACCCGGGGAAAGAAAAGTTTGCAAGGCAGTGCCTCTAAAAATAGAGCAGTGGGCAACTGAAATTCTCCCGGGACTGTGGACCACAGGACTGTAATGGAGATTTCATTTCCCTACCTCCCTGTTCTACAGTGTTACAGAGTTTCAGCCTGTTACTTAGCAAATGATTCAGGCCCTTCTATTAAGAGAAAATTCTCAAGATTTATTTCCCCTAGGGTGGGGAGGGGCAGCAAAGGGAAGGTTCAGGATTTGGAGACAAAGATTTTTCTCTTGAGGGCTCTGCCCCACCCCTTACCAGCTGTGTGACCTTGAACAAGTCATGAACCATCTCTGAGTCACTCATTGGTCCTGTTAAGGATATTTTTCCTGTTCCCACTGGCTCACCGAACCATAGACGCCAGTAAAATGACAATGCTTAGAAAACTGGAAAGCACTGTGCAAATCAGAAGTCAGTTGTGTTAATAGTTTTCACCTCATTTTAAATAAAGCCGTTTAGTGGAGCTGGACTGTCTAATACCTCCCGTAGCCTTTTTGTATTATTAGTATTGTTAAATGTAAACAAGGAGACAAATACTGGTGAGTGGAGTCCTCCTTTGTTTAGAAGCTGCTTCTAGATGCTGCTATTGCTGAACTGGTCAGCGAGGTCCAATTTTGTTCATTCTCCCTTGCTTTGCCACCCTCCCTTCCAATGGTTCATTTATACTTTCCCTAGAAAACAAGTAACATTTAAAAAATACAGCATCGGTTCAGTTCTATCCATGGAGCAAACATGAGGAGAAATAGAAAGAAAAAGCAGTTGTTCCATTGGCTCATGTTCTTGGCTATTGGTTCCATTAATTCCTCTCGTTTTGTGGGTGTGTCCATGCGTGGACCTCCCTGTCCCAGGAGCTGTCCCAGGGCTTGCATCACTTAGAGTCTAGCGCTGCTGGCCAGCCTTCTTATCCTGAAGCCCCTTGAGACATGAGGGCTGGTTTCATATCCTGAGCGCCCTCCAGGTAGAGACACATTGCACACTGGGAAGTAATGGTAAGGAGTTGCGTAAGTAGCACCCTTTCCCTTCCTCTTCTTCTTGCCAGGAAACCCCACCTGTTTTTTTTTTCTTTTTGAAGCAAAGTTTCATTATGCAGTTCAGGCTGGCCTTGAACTCACTTGGTAGCCCAGACTGACTTCCAGTTCACAGTCATCCTCTGGCCTCAGCTTCCTGAGTGCAGAGATTACAGATGTGCGCGCCACTATGCCTGACTCCCTCTCCCTCCTATCATTTGGCTTCCTGCTTTGCCATAGAAGAGAAAGGTCAAATGTCACCTCTTAAACCTCCACTGAACTGCCTGTAACCCAACCACCTACCTGGCCCTAGAATCTGTGTTCTAGGCTCCTTATAGCTTCTCGGTTGTGCTGTGGTCTGCCATGTTCTAGGGTCTCTTGATGAGATCCTTCTCACTGCTGTCTGCATCCTCAGTGCTCAAGACTGTGCTGAGTTTCTCCTGGTTCAAGGTCTAAGCCTCAGTGCACTGTGGGGAGAACATATGGAGGTAATTTAGCTGTTTGCGTGATTTTGGAATTAGGGAAAATTGTGACCCTGATAATATACTGAGCATGATATATATATATATATGTATGTATATATATGTATATATGTAAAATTTTGCCTTGTCTATGTAAATACATCTTTTAAGGCAACACCTTGTTGCTTGTATGCCTGTTCTCAGCTTGGGAAAGTTCAAGAACTGTGCTCATTCTGGCCCGAATTAAGTTGTAACTGGACAGATCTGGGATTGCAGCTATTAATATTATTCTATTAATGCTTCTTTCCACGTACTGACATAGTCTTTACCGAATGCCTAGTGTTTATTAAGCATCCTTCCCCTTTCTCTTCTCATTGCCAGGGCACCCTTTTCTCCTACCCTTGGGCTTCTTAGACTAAGGTGTTTCTGTGAATTTTATGCATTTGTTGCTCATATCTCTTTTAACAAGTGTTCAAGTAATGTATTTTAACCTTCATTTTACAGTTCAAAAACTAAGACTCAGACAATTTATTGAGCTTCCCTGGGTTATAAATGACCAGTGAGTAGCAGAGCTACTGAGACCTGTGTCCCGAGACTGGATTTATGTACTGTACTTGCTGTCCATGCCCACCTCTGCCCATGAACTCCTTGGTTTGATTTCTATGCCCAGTGTTCTGGAGAGGCAGGGTGACTGTAGATTTGAAGTATTAAGGAGAAGTAGGCATCTCAGCTAGGATCTTGAGCTGAA